TATATACTTGATATACTATTAGTATAGTATTGCTATATCAATAACCAAGTTCTAACAATTTCAAAGATTTAGACATCTCATGCAGAGTCGAATTTTTCAATAGGAAAACCTGTTAATGATACATGGAACAATTATCCTGATAATTCTTTGAATTCAATGTCTTTACTCGACAACATTATGCTATTTTATCATGGAGCCAGTACATTAGTTAATGATCTTCTTGAAATATTGCCAAATCAAGGTTTGGAACTTCCCAAAGATTCAAGGAGAATTTTAAAAGCACCTTATGAAAAGTGACTTATAGACAGGTTCTTGCTAATTTATATATATATATTTTTAAACGTTTAATTACTTGAGAATTGTATTAATATTGATACATGTATTGAAATTGATACAGATATTAAAATAAATTGTTAAAAACTGGGTATATGATATATTATATATATATATATATATATATATATAATATATATATATATATATATATATATATATATATATATATATATATATATATATATATATATTAAGTATATACTTGACACTTGATATAGTATTTCAAGTATAATAATTGATATACTATATCAAGAACCAAGTTCTGACTGTTTGAAAGACTTGGACATTGCAGAATCTCATGCATAGTCATATTTTTCAAAGGGAAAACCTATTAATAATAACAGAGAGTTTATGCTGATAATTCAATATAATTCAATATCTTTAATTAACAACTTTTAGATTGTTCTATTCGAAATAATTGGACTAGTACATTAGTTAATGAACTTTTTGAAATATTACAATATCAAGTTTCGGAACTTTGCTAATAACCAATTACTTAACTTTAGTTATTAGTGAAGTTCAAAAGTTTTGACTAAAAAATAAGTCTAATTGAAAAAATTAAACCAGTCATAACAGTTATATAAGAGACAGGAAGGTAGAAAATTTAATAATAATAATTATTAAATTCAATTAATTCCAAAGGTTATATATAAATAAAATATATAACCCTAATTCCAAAGGTTTTATATATATATATATATATATATATATATATATATATATATATATATATATATATATATATATATATATATATATATATATATATATATATATATATATATATATATATATATATATATAGTAATATGGTAATTTATAATAATTTTTTCTGTTTTTATTTAAAATTTATTGAAAAAAATAAGATTCTGTTTTCAATGTAGTTATTTTCTCCTTATTTCTGCTATTTTTTCTTACAAATAATTGACTATCGTGACCAAATCTTTTTAAATAATAGAAAAATGTCTCCTTAAAATCCTTACTTATAGCGTCAGTTTTAATAGTAAAAATACAAAATATATGTCAAATAAAATAAAAATGAGTTTTGCTAAAATTTAAAATTATTAGAATTAGTTAAAATTTAGAACTATTAGTTATTATTAGTTAAAATTAGTAGAATTTGTAGTATTAGTTAAAATTTAGAAATAGATAGTGTGAAACATCAATTAGATACAATTTAAAGTTGAACAGAAAAATTAAAAAAAAAAAAAATGCTAATGCTAAAAAAAAACACTTGTAAGAATATTTTTTACTTTATCCATAAATTTTATTTACTTGTTAATTAAGATTTTATTTTTAGGAGTGTCAACTACATCAAGTGTCAGTTAATATATATGTTTTGGTCAAATACATGTTTGTATTTGGTAATATTATGTTACATTTTTGTTTTGTATTTCAAAAACTCATATTGCATTTATTTAAATATGCATTTAGAAATCTAATATTGATGTGTTTTTAGTTTTTGTATCTAATTTTGTTTTAAATTAAAGAAATTTTATTTGATTAAATGTATTTAACTCTAAAGTTCATTTTTATTTTTGCCTTTGGTTTTAAAAAAATAGAACAACGGTTTTGGCTATAGTTCATTTTATGTAATGGTTAATGTAATATAATTTATTTTATGTAATATGCCTAATGAATTTTTATTAGTAACAACTTCTTTAATTCATTCAGCTCCTCCAAAATTTGAAAGTCTGTGATTCAAAATTTCGCTTTTCCCAAAACAAAGTTAAAGAAAATATATGAAGTCAATGATAAATCTTAAAGTTTTACAAAGAATAATGTAAGTAATATTTTTTCTTGTAATAACTATCTTGGAAGTTATTTTAACTATCTAGGCCTTTTATCTTTATAAATTAATTTTTTTAATACTTCTCAATACTCAAAAGAGGTACCTAGTCAATTCAGCAAGAAAAAAGAACATTTAAGAATTTCCTTTCAAAAGATGTAGTTAGTAAAATTTTAAGTTAGTTATATATACATATATATATATATATATATATATATATATATATATATATATATATATATATATATATATATATATATATATATATATATATATATATATATATATATATATATATATATTCTTCATATCCAGTAACTTCAGAGGTTCTTCAAGGTTCAATCTTTGGCCTATACTCTTTTTAATTTACATTAACGATCTTCCAGATATTATCACATTTAAGGTGGCATTGTTCGCTGACGACACTACTATTTATCTTGATAAAAATCTCACCTCTGCTACAGCATGTGGCTCACAATGGCTGGTGAACTTTATTTCAGATAAAACTCAATTTTTTTCGGCCAATCGTTATCGCAATAATTTTGATCTTCCTATATTTATGAATGGTAATGTACTAGATGAGTCATATACCCTTCATCTTCTTTGATTAACTTTTACTTCTGATCTTTCTTTTAAACCGTATATCAAATCCATTCCAAAATTAGCATTTGCTAAGGTTGCATATCTTTATCGAGCTTGACACTTCCTTACTCTAGATTCTATTTTCTATCTCTATAAATCTCAAATCCGTCCCTGTATGGAATACTGTTGCCATATCTGGGGCAGATCTTCTATTGATGCCCTTTCTCTTTAAGGCAAGGTGCAAAAACGCATTGTAAACATAGTTGGACCTGCTTGTGCAGCCAATCTCCAATCATTGTCACATCGTCGTGATCTTGCTTCTTTTTCTCTTTTCTACAAATACTATAATTGGCACTGCTCTAAAGCTAGTTTTTTTCTCGAACATCAGTTCTTTGGAATTTGCTTCCTTCATCTTGCTTCCCTGATTCATATAATTTGCAATCTTTTAAGTCATCTGTCAATCGTTATCTTGCTTTACGAACTTAATCTTTTCTCTTCCAATAACTTTCAAACTCTTATAGTGGTTGTTCGCAGCCTTGTTGGAAGCGAAGATGTAATATATGTTTTTTCTATTATAATTTATATATATATAAATTATAATATATAGTCTTTAATTCATTTACTTACTTATCTTAAGAATAATGAAATATAAAAAACGTTTAAAGTTGAGAATAGTTTTGATTCTATCGCCAAGTTTCTTGAATGTGATCAATCATTTCTCGATACTAATGTTGCAAAAAGTAGTATATTTTTTATTATGGTTAAATGATTAGTTTTTTTTTATAAGGGTTAATTACATAAAAAATTTTGATCTGTAATTATATACATAATGCTCACTTTACAAGTAAACATAATTTACACAAAATTTTTGATTTGAATAAAACACTAATGAATTGCTCCTATGCCCAATATAACTTACACTAAATTGTCCCATATCAATTGCATTAGTGTTATCTTTGAATTTAGAAATAAAATGTTATTAAATGTTGGTGGCTCATCATGAAGTGCATTTGAGAAGGGCATGCTTTCAAAGTAAGTATAATTTTACTATAAAAAGAGCATTAATACCGCAATTATATTGCATACTTGATATACATAAATATATACGCTGGTCACAACAATCCAGTCAAAAATTTCTTTAAAGAAATAAATTTAGTGTTGAGAAATTCGTATTTTTTGATGTTTGATGTTATGTTATGTTATAATAATAATTATATATATGTGTGTTATTTATTTCTTTTCCCTTTATTTTTACATACTTATCCTAACAATATTTTTTTTAAGGTTAAGACTGCTTTCCTGATTCCTACAGCAAAAAAAAAAACTTTAAAATGCTGGTGGCAATATTTTAAAAAGTGCATCTGATCGAAAAGAAGGTGAATGACGTCAACTGTTCGAAAATTCGATTCTTGGAAATAAACAAGTGGAAGAAGAAGTTTACAAAGTTGTAATTTATAAAACTCAGCACAATTATATTATTAAAAAATTTAAATGATTTATTATTTTTTTCTTATTTTCAAGAAGTTTTGTAAAAACATAAATTTGAACCTTACGTTTAAGTAAAGCCATGTTAGAACACGTATTTTAGACGTATTTTAAAATAAGAACGTCTAATTTAGGTTATTTAAAGACGTCATTCGGCGTTTCCTTTTTACACTAGTTCTGAACGTCCTAAATTCACGTCTTTTAGACGTCTCAAAACACGTCTTTATTCCGTCTTAAAAAGACGTCCTAATTACGTCTTAAAAAGACGTCATCTGGCGTTGCCATTTAGAACCAGTTCTGGACGTCCTAATAAGACGTCCTTTCGACGTCATTTGGACGTTTCCGTGCCCGCTGGGTCTTCTGTTCACAAAATGTCTAAAAATGCAAGTATTAAAACAAATGATTTAAACAAATAAAACAAAAATGTTTAAAGCTTAAATATTCAAACAAATGATTCAAACAAGATAAAATAACGTTCAAAGTTCATACAAGCGCCTAATTATAATTAGCTTCATTAAAAAAAACATTTAGCTAATAAATAAAAGTTAATATAACCAAATAAAATTTAAAATCTCTCGCAATGTTTTATTACAAGCAATAACAAAGTGATTTAGTTTCTTTAAAACTGAGATTTGTAAATTAATAAAACGTTATACAAAACTGGTAACTTGAAATTTTTAAATGTAAATGTAACTGATATATAGAATTATTAAAGAATTTGTAAAATTATTTGTAATTGATTTATTTTTGCTGTGTTGGTGCAATAATAAAAAGTTGTTAAAATGTTTTAAAAACTGTTATCAATTCTTTAATTATTTTCAGTAATGTATTTAGATATTTCCTCCACTGCAGTCTTAATTCCTGTGTATTTCCTGGATACTTTGGAGATTTCAATCATATTCTTGCGATAAGTCTCATCATTTAAAACCTGATGTATTGATTTTCTAACTTTTTCAGAAGTTAGAGTTGGAGTATCCAATTTAATTCCCAAATACAATTCATCTGCTATTCTATGAGCCACCATTGGTTGATCACCACCTTGTGGGATGCAAATTAAAGGCACACCATAATGAATAGATTCATTAACACTGTTCATACCACAATGTGATATAAATAGAGAAGCACGTTGAAGAACTTCCAACTGCGGTACCCATGTTAAAAGCAGAACATTATCAGGACAACTGTAGTTTTCGTTTGCAATCTTTTCTTGATATAAGTTGTATACTGTTTGGCAAATTGAGATAACCACGCAAAGCTAATTTAATTTTATTGCACTTTTTGTGCTTTCCTTCTCTTGATCGAATGTTCTGATCGCATTTATAATGCATTCAAACACATTTACATTTTCATTAAATACAGTTCCTAATGATGCATAGATTAATATTTTACATGTTTTATTTACAGTCAAAGATTTAATCGGGTTTATAGGATCAAACGAACCTAATAGTTGCTTTACTTTGGGATCCGTTATATAAAATTCTCTATTTTCAGTAACAGAGCAACTTCCAACAAATTTATAAGGCTCCTTAAATTCTTCTCCCTTTGGTTGAAGTTCTCTGAATGTTGATACAATAACAAGTTTCTCTTTTAAAGACGTCATATATTCTATTGGGCTCATCGTAGATAAATTAAGAGAATATTTATCACTTACCTTCTTGACATGGGCTTCAAATGATTTTATTACTTCTTCATTAGGAACGGGTTCTATCATTGTTTTTAGAAAGTTTTCTTCAGGAAATATTTCAATATTTAAACAAAAAGACGGAAAAAACAAAAGTGCTTTTGGAGGTGGTATATTTGAAACACCAATCAGATACCTATGTTGCAAATGAATTAGTAAACACTTGCTATAGAATGAAATAAAGTCATAAATTATCAAATCAGGCTTCTCTTTTTCAAAAATATCCACAAAATAAGGTATTGTTTGATCTGCAATATCCAAAAAAGAAGTAAAAAGTGTAATTACTGTTGGAACATGACTTTTTTCATTTGCTTTAACAATTGGGAAATATGGATATTCTCTGTACTCTGCACCGGTTTTGACAATTATATCTTTAAACTCAGACAAAGAGTAAAATACTATTATGTAGCTTTCTTCAACCAGTCTCTTAGTAATACCAATAAGTGGGTTTATATGCCCCCAAAATGGTGGTATTAATATTAGTATTTTCTTTTGTTGCATTTCTGTTATAAATAACAATTAATAATGTATTTATTTGACTCGAGATATAAGTTACCCGGTGGGAAATGAGATAGCAAGGTTTATAGCGACTTTTAACCAATTTTTTTTTATAAATATCCTTTAATTTGTCTTTTACGTCTTAAAAAAGTTCATTTCTCAATATTGGATCTAATACACTTAAGATAATAGTTTAACGCCCTTGCGATTTTATTATGACATGTCGCAAATCTAGATATCTCAGCTCTGTAACTATCGACCATATCACTACTAAATATTGTATATTACTACGATATATTGCTAGCTACATATCGTAGCGTTGTTGCTAGCTGCAACATAACGACAAATATGTAGCTTTTCAATGGCTTCATACCACAGCTTTTTAACAAGTGATATTTTTACAATGTATCGCTAAGTAAATTTTGCAGCAATTTATATAGCTAAAGCTACATTATAGTTGTTCCGAGTTTGTTCTCCTCCACATCCCTGGCAGTACTGCACTCAACTTTTTTCTCCGCGCAAAGACCTTGTTTGCCAAGGTTCGTGTTTCGGAGTTATAGAGTTGAGAGCGGGTTATAATCACAGCTATGTAGCCTCCTCGTCTCTAGTGGCCTTCTCGGCCTTGGGTAGGTGAATTAACATTTATAAAATATTTTTTTTTAATGCATACACTTTACGGGTTTTTAGTTTAAAAAAATTTGTTGATACCTACATATTGTAGCTTTTTAGCTTGGTAAAATCTATCAGTAAATGATACCGCTAGCTAAAAAGCTGTAATGTATATACCACATACAAATTACAGCATTTTAGCTAGCGATATTAATTACATCTTCATTTTCGACGCTAACCATAATATAACGACAAGTCTGTATTTTTTTGATAGCGACATATCACAAATTTTTTTGATAGCGACATATCACAAATTTTTTTGATAGCGACATATCGCAGCTTCTCTTGAAAACTCATAAAACTACAAAATTTTGCAACACTGTTATTTTTTTGAAAATCCTCATCAAAACTAGTTTCGCTAATTTTCATTTTTAAAAGAAATTTTTTTTTAGTCTGACTGGCCCTTCAACGCCTCCGAGGTATCAAGAATGGCAACCTCTTTCAGCAGTTGAATAAAAAATCAGATATTTGAGGAGTGGTTGTTAAATTACTTTGTTCCGGACATTGAAAGCAAAAAAAGAAAAGCATTCTGATTTCTAATAATATAAGTGTTTATAAGACTTAAAAAACATTTGTTAAAAGTATAGCATAACATTAAAATGTTTGATAATTAACACATATTAAAACCTTTTTTTTTTCAATGGTGTAAAACATCCCGTAGAAGAAAGATTATTAACCTACCAAAAAATCTATTTTTTCAACTCAATAAATCTACTCCTAATGCCGTCAAATAAAATCTAGAACATAAACTATAATCAAGGTTTAGTTATCAACTCAGTGCACAGTGGGCACTGTGCACTGTGTTGTGTAGATGGACAAAATGAGAAAAATTTAATCGTCTAATCTTGAAAACTTATTTAATTTTAGTATCTACATATATTAGGAGAAATTTATTGATAATTTATTTACATTAAATCCCTTAGTTACCAGGACTCTAAGCATTTGAATATTGAAATTAAAAAAAAAAAAATTTAAATAAGTAATTTACGGTGACATTAACGTTGTGTTATATTTCAATTACATCTACGTTTTTGAAACAAATAATTATTACATATTATTCTAGAGTATTTAGAGATAAGCAAAACCAATGTGTGAAATAAATATGTCATGGCATGTTATCTCAGTTATACTTTGAAAATCACAGATTAAAAAAAAAAAAATCTTCATGAAATTTATTTTTTGCCGCACGATAACTAATAATTACCATATTTTGCCATGTGCTGTCTTATATTTATTTAAGCTATATGATGCTTCAATCAAGTTTTAATTGATTGCTTGTCCCCTTAAATCCCCGTTCAGATTTTATATGTATTTTAACTTGGTTGTCATGGTACTGAATTTTGCATAGCAACAGCTTATTTTTACATTAACGTTGTTTTAACAGTATTTTATCTGCACTAAGCACACAATATTGGGAGTATGTATTAAAATGAGATTCACAATTCTTATGAGGTTATTTTTTTTCGTTGCTATGGCTACCTTATTTTGCATAACATATAAACAACATATTTTCGATAGTTGTCAGTAATTTAATTTTTAACACTAACAGTAATTTAATTACTTTTAATTTTAATTACTAACACTAGTAGTAACTTAATTACTAACACGAATTAGTAGTGTACGCGGCATATATATCATAACATTAAACTTTTAAATACAAAATAATTGTTATAAGAATTATTTAGATATGGCTTTATTAAACTTAGACATTCATAATTTTCTTAGTATTTCAAAACAAAATATTACTGAAGATATATTAAAATTTATTGAGCCAAACTTTGCTGAATTTAAAGACGTTGATTTTAGACATGCTGTTCAACGATTTGTTTACTTGTATAAAATAAGTGGAAATCTGCCAACTATACTGTTAAAAATTTTGAAAAGAAGTTTGTAAATTGGCTTAATAAATATTTAATTGTCAGAAAAAAACAACAACAAACCAACTGCAAGTAGACGTGGTTGAAAACCAATTGTATTTGATAATAGTTCTAATAAAACTAAAAAACGGAGTTTTTTAGTTTTATTAGAACTATTATCAATCTTTCCTTATTGAATTCCATTCATCCAGTGAATAATTTTTGCTGCTCGTAAAAAATTTAGAGATGAATCTATTGTTAGTGCTGCCAAGAAATTTTTAAATATTTCAAATACAGATAAAGCAACTAAATATTCAGCAAACGAAGCGCTGTCTTTAATAATTGATGCCAGTCTGACAAAAACTACTTATCAATTGATTAGAAGCGGAGCCTTTGAGAAAGAATATATATCCTCTACCCCGCTTACAATGATGTCAGAAATGCAAAATTGAAATTTTAGATAGAAAGTGAGAAGTGAGATAAAAAGCATGGGTATGATTTTATTAGAGGTTTGCGGTTCTTTTATTTAAGTAAACTGTATTATTGAACTTATAATGATTGATAGGAAAGTTCAAGCAATATTATCTGAAAAAACTCATACCAATGCTGTATAGTGTGTGGTGTCTCTCCATAAAATATGAATAGTCTTGATATCCTTAATATAGATTATGCTAAAAGAGAGTTCAAATATGGTCTTTTCATTCTTCATGCATGGATTCACTTTTTTGAAATGGTTTTACACATTTCATATAAAAAAGAACAAAGAAAGTGGCAAGCAAGATCTAAAGAACGCAAAGAAAAGGCATCTTTGGCTAAACAAAAAATTCAGACTGATTTTGTGAATTTCCCTAAATTTTTGTTGATTTCCCTAAAAGTGGTGGTTCTGGAACAAGCAATGATGACAATACCTCAAGGCGTGCCTTTGCAGCAAATTAACAAACAGCTGAAATTCTGGGTATTGATCAAAACCTTATACTCAGATTTTACATTATCTTGGTAACTCTCTCTTAAAGATATGAAATAGACAGCTTAAAACTCAAGGATTATTATTTTGATGCTGTTAGACTATATGTGTCTCTTTATCCATGGTATTACATGGCTTAATCAGTTCACAAAGTATTGATACATGAACATGACATAATTAAAAACCTTACATTACCCATCGGACTTATGTCAGAGGAAGCTCAAGAGGTTAGAAGCTCAAGAGGTTAGAAAGCTTCAAATCTTATCGCGAAAATTTTAGCCAAAACATCCAGAAAAGCAACAAATACTGATCTTATCAATAGACTTCTAGTTTTCAGTGATCCTATTATTTCATCACTGCGTAAATCAACATCACACCGAACAAATCATAAAGCATTTCCTTCAGTTGTTTTACAATTACTTAAACAATCTTTAAACGATGTTATTGTTATATAATTTTTTGATGTAATTTAAAATTGACAATACTTTCTTGCACTATTTTTTTGTTTTTATTATAGCAAAAATATTGTTAACCTAAAAAATCAATTATCATTCATTATAGGTGGATCAAAAATCTGATAGAATATTCAAATATCAACTTACATTTTTGTAACTAAGGAAAATATCTGGTAACTAAGCAATATAAGTATCCATAGCAACTAATGTAAAAAAAATATCACTTTTGTAATAAGTGTGATCTCATATTGGTACTCATGCCAAGTTTAGGGAATATAGCACTCATAATATATCTTCAGATAATAAAAATAGTTTGTTGCTAAACAAAATAAAGGTATCCATAGCAAAGAAATAAAAAAATATACCTTCATAAAAAGCGGAGACATCATATAAGTACTCACGCTGATTTTAGTAAATATAGCTCCAATATTAAATTAGTTATGAATTTTGTCCAGTAAAAGTGAATTCTGGCCCACTTTGCAGTGTTTTGGAATGGTTAAAAACCCACAATTTGCATACGTAACGCTATAGTGATTGGTAGCTATAGCAACTTCATAGCTATTGTATTATGTTACTAATTATATTATATCAATTATATTATCATCTAGCTATATTACTCTGGTTTTTCTCAAACATTGTTCATGCGGCTCTTTAACAGAATTAAAAGTAATATTACAAGTAATCACTGACGATTATTGTTGGGGGACCATTTCTTAACTGTACTTTTAAGGTTTATTAAAGATATTGTTTTTCGATATGGAGTTAATAACTAGTAATTCTTTTGAAAAGAGTTACCAATTTGATAGTATAGCCAGATCAAGTAGTAACATATCGTTAAGGTGGTAGAGCACAAAAAAGACTTTTTTAAAAAATTTTCATGAAAAATTTTTAAAAAAGTATTAAAAATATCCAGAAATGCTTCACTAAGAAAAATGAAATAATTTTTCCAAAAAAAATTTTTTAAAAACTTTACCAAAAATCCATAATGGCGAAAAAACAGTGTAAATAAAGACCTAATTCTGAGGTTTTCAAAACACGTTATCTTGAATTAGATTTAAAAA